TGGGCCACCATCCACTGCTTTCCCAAGTGCATTATCAGCGAGCTGGATGGGAAGTGGAGCAGCTGGGACTTGAACCAGCGCCCAGATGGGATGCAGGCACTGCAGGTGGCTGCTTTACTTGCTACACCACAGCACCGGCCCCAGCCCAGAGCACTGTGGGTAGACCTCTGGAGACGACGTGGGGCTAAGGGGGAAAAGGAAATGCTTCTGACTTCCAGCAGACCTGGGTTTGAAGCTGACTCCGGAACTGAGCAGCTGTGTGACCTGGGAAGTTACCTCACCTCCGGCATCTCTTTCCCTGCCAGTGGCACAGGGGAATGGCTGCCTCAAGAGTGGTGTGAGAATGGACGGCACGGCATGCTGAGAGCATGGCCCTTGTAAGAGCTCAGGGAGTGCTGGCTGGCCACAGCAGGGATCTTTGCATTGGCTCTGGGCTGGCCAGTGGCCTCTTGGTTGTGGGCCTGCAGCCCCTGCCCCTCTGAATTCCCTGCATGAGTCACTGTTCTCATGGTGGTTGGGGTTGGGTCTGGTAGGAAGTTCTTGACTTCCTTCCTTTCCTTTTGGAGACAGGAGTCCCTAGATGGGCGAGGCTCAGGGCAGAAGGTTCTGAGATGGTTATCACGCCTGCATTCCCTGTTCAGGTCCATGGTTCTGAGCAATCTCTTCACTTGTCTGGGCCTTGGAGATAAGGATGCCTTGGCCTGTACGATGCCCTACAGCTCTGCCATGTTTGGATCTTACCCCTGGGCATCAGTCATGTGCCTGGGGGAGCTGATAAGTTTCTTCACAGCTAGTAGGAGACCACGCCCCGTCGTCTCACCTCCGGAAGCCCGTCATGTGGAATGCTCCATGGTGACCTGCCCCAGCTGTTTCGTCCTTACAAATCCAGACCCATCTGAGCCTAACTGGGTGGCTGGCTCTCCCTTTTCCTTCAAGGAGAGGTGTTGTGGGGGTACAAAGTGGGGTTCAGAGGGATGTTAGAACCCCCGTCTCCACCAGCCCCCACAGCCCCACTCCGAGTAAACCATCTGAGAAAACAACAAAAATGTGCTTTTGCTGGAGCCAGGGCAGGGGTTAAGACAAGACCTTTGCCCCCATCCCTCCCATCCCCCAATTCAAAGTGAGCCCTCCTCCTGGCCCTCATCGTGATGGATGCTCGGACACACCCTGGAGCCCCCGCACCTCCCTGGCCCAATCTTGGGGTCTTGCATCCACACCCTAGTTCTGATGTCACATGGAACGGTAGGGCTGTCAGGAACCCCAGAGATCACTCGTTTTCATGTCCTCTCTGAATGGACAGGAAACCAAGGCCACAAGTGGGCTGTGACTTGCCCAAGGTCGAACGGCTAGGAGGGGCGCCGGTCACGTCTGGGACTGGACTTCCTGACTCCAGGTGCTCTTTTTCACTTGATCGCGCCCATCAGCAGGCTCTCCCCTGCCTATTGTCCTGGGGCCCCTGAAGCTTGGGAGATGCAGCCCAGCTCTTGGAAAGAAGCAAGAGGAGCTGGGCTCGCTCCCAGGCACCTCTCCTAGGGTACCATGGCCTGGCTGCTTGCTCCAGAATGGCTCAGAGGGGCTGGGTGGGAAGCAGGAGGCCATTAGGACCCAGAAGCTCTCAGAGCATCCTGCCCTGCCGGCTGCCTCTCACCGCTCACTGCAGTGGTTCAGGATTCAGCAGCCTTGGAGAAGCATCAGCTGAGAGGAGCTATCACATGGGAGCCGGGAGCTGCTCAGCAAAGGTAGGAGTTGCCGACTAGGCCAGGAACCAGGGCCAGCCCCAGGGCCTGGTGGTAAGTGCTGTGGCCCCCGACAGAAGGGGAGCACTCCCAGCGCCGGCTCACCCTCCCTTACGATGGGCAGTTTTGTCGGGGGATGGCCTCCCAGGTATCCCAAAGGTGGTATTGGGGTGTGAGCACCTCTGAAGCCTAGGGCTGGAGGGCTGATGGCCTTCTGCCGGCAGGAGGACAGACAGCCTGCAGCCAGCCTGTGCTCTCCACCCGTCTTGCTCCGTGGCACAGACACGGGGCCCCCACATCCTAGAGACGGATCCTTTGCCATCCAGGCTGACGGGTAACTGTGTCCTGGGGATGGCAGTGTCGCTCCCTAGAAATCTGCCCTGCTCAGTTGAGCACGCTCCTATCTGGCGGCAGGCAGGGCTTGGGTCCTCGTCTCGACGGAAACTCCGGGTCTGAGAAACAGGTGAATCCCAGCGACACCTCTGTGGCCTTGGGCTGGGCACTTACACAGCTTGCATCCTGAGACACAGATATGTGGGACTTGGCCAAGGCCCTCCCTGCGGGGGGCCCAGAACTCCGTCCCTATGGTGGCAAAGCCTTCCAGGTCCTGAGAGGTGTGGAGGTGCGGGGGGAGGCGTTGGAGGAAGCAGTGGGAGGACGAGAGCCTCTGGCTGGGGTGGGAGGCACGCCACTCTGAGAGCTGGAAGTAGAAGCAAGCTCCCTGGGAAAGTGCTACAGCAGCACAGCCCTCTCCTCCCATCCAGCCATCCAGGAGCGAGGGCCAAGGGGCCAGGGACGTGGGTCTGTCTGCTAGGAAGTAAACTGGAATCCTGGAACTCAGGCGTCATTGTGGCGGGGCTGAAGGGACTATGAAAAAGAGAGAAATGTCCAGTGCCTTCTTGCCCAGGGCTCCATCATGGCTGCATGGCACCCTTCCTTCTCCACGTGGAAACCACTTCTCCACGTGGAAGCCCACACTGAGTGGGCCATGCTAGGTCAGACTCTTGCTGTCCATCCAGACATGGGGGCCTAAAGCTACCGGGGACTCAGAACCACACCTCTGGGCCCCCCTTCACCAGTGGGAAGGCCGAGTCAACCATGACATGGAGAGGAAGAGGCAAGGACGCTTCCCCCTCGTACTTCTCGGAGTTACTTTGTCCCTGGTAGACGGTCTTAGGGAAGCTGATGGCTCCACTTTTGTGCCCTCTCTTCATCTTGTCTGTGAGGCCAGAGTCTATGTGGCCATCTTAACTGTGAGATGAGTTTCCTGCTATCCCTGGAGAGAGGCACGTCTCTAGGCAGCTGTCCAAAGTTGAGACTGTCTCAAATCCAGAAGCCTGGAATACCCTTGCCAGAGGAGAGAGTCTCGGCTGGCAAACAGATGATGGAGTGAGTATTGCTGGAGTTTGTGCTAAGGGGCAGGGATTCAACTGATGACTCGGAGTTTGACTAGATGCACACAACTGCTCGCAGTACCCACTGCACGCATGGCATGCCACAAGTTGGATTCATGCAAGGTGAGCGATGATGCCCAAACCCGTGGTGGTTGCAAGGCTGTAGCGGTGGAGGACAGTGAGGCCTGTCTGGCCACGTGCTCCTCATTCCTACGGTCACAGAAATGGTGGGTTTTCACATTGAGCAGCCACCAGATCCTCTGTAGCCCAGGCACTCACGGAGATGTCATCACATGTAAGACCCATGCAGATCATCCAGTCCAACCATCCCCCTTCACGCGTGATAAAATTGACACACGGAACTGATGATGTGTCTACAGAAAGGCCATCAGATGAGGCATAGCCACAGTTTTCTTCTAATTCACGTAACTCAGCACCTTCTACTGAGGGAATCTGGACAGCAAGAATAGTGTATGAACAAGAAAAGCATTTTGAAAATTACATTAGGCAACCTATTTCAGTTACATGCAAGTTCAACATAGTCTGAATGGACACACAGAACACCTTCCCCTGGGAAAAGGGGACCCTGAAAGCACACACTTCCCCCTCCAACTTCGCTTGGCTCCTTCCACGATCACAGCGCTCCAGTCACTCTCACACCTACCCACACTCCTCACTCCTTATTCTGTGACTGTGGTTAACCGGCCAGAACCAAGAGGGCTTCGGGCCAGGGACCTTCCAAGGGTCAGCTCCAGGTGACTGGAGGCCCGAGGAACTGTGGGCACCAGCAGGGCCATGGCGGCCTTGAGAAGTTGACGAGCAGGTGAAGGGTAGCTTTCGAGTGACACTTTAGAGTGCCCTTGGGGCTCCGGGAGCAGGAGGGGCTGCATGAGCTGGCCTCCCGGTCTCCCTCCAGCTGGGACGTTTCATTTTCACTGCACCTTTTCCACATTCCCAGCGTGGCAACTCTTGGTCCTAGGAGTGGTGACGTGAGAAGAGACTAACGCGAAGTCCCCATTTCCAGGTGATAGCTCTTGAGTGGTGAGAGACATCTGTAAAGACAGCTAAAATTCAACCACCATTGACTGGATGCTATTATATTCCAGCCAATGTGGAGGTCGCCCTCATGCACAGCATGGCACGCTGGGCAAGAGAAGTAGCCCTGGGTCGGAGCCCAGACCTTGCCACACACTAGCTGTGTGACCTTGGGTAAGCGACTTAATCTCTCTGGGCCTTAGGTTTATCCCTTGCAAATTGGGGATAAGAATAATGCCATCTCATAGGGTTGTGTGAGGATTCACATGAGTTAAAAAGGGGAGGGTGCTCAGAACATTCAGAAACATTATTGCTTATCACTAGTATTGTGATTAATAAATCACACAGGCGCCTCCACACACGGCCGTGTAACAGCTTTTATTCCCTTTGTTTTACAGATGCATTTGTGAGGAAACTGACACTCCGAAGAACTGCATGGTCAGAGGACTGCTCAGGCCCCGGGCTGCGAAGTGAACCTGGCGCTCCTTCTACCCTCCCGTCAGCGCCTGCCGTTCGGAGGAAAAGCGAGATCTGGAACTTTATATAAGCAACCTGAAAACTGGGGCGCTATCCCAGAGAGCAGCGGGACCCTGAGAGAGGGAGACAGAGGACTCAGACCCACTGGCTGACAGCTTTGCAAGAGGAGACGGGTATGGAGAACAGGGGAAAGGAAATGGAAGAGGAGGAGCCGGGGGTCGCTCAGAAGTTGGAGTGCTGAGTGCACAAGGCTCCCACTCCTCTGTTTCCTGCCTCTTCCCAGTGTCCTAGGCAGACCTTGGAGCCACCTGCTGCCACCAAGGGGAGACAAGCGCCTGAGCCCTCAGCTGCTTGGCCTGCTGCTTTGCAGCCAGAGGGACCCCTTCCTCCCTGCTCACAGGCCACTGCGAGGAGCCTGTGTGCCTGGCCCCAGCACCAGCTCCCCACAGCCCTGCAGAAAAGTAGGCAGCCTGGGCCTGGGCTCAACAACCCAGGGTTGTGGACTAGGATGGGGGATGGGCCTGTGACAGGAGGTACCCTGGGTGTCCTCCTTTGGCCCCATGGAGTCCTCACCCATCCCCCAGTCATCAGGGAACTCTTCCACTTTGGGGAGGGTCCCTCAGACCCCAGGTCCCTCTACTGCCAGCGGGGTCCCGGAGGCGGGGCTGCGGGATGTTGCTTCGGAATCGGTGGCGCTGTTCTTCATGCTCCTGCTGGACTTGACGGCGGTGGCTGGCAATGCCGCCGTGATGGCTGTTATCGCCAAGACACCCGCCCTCCGAAAATTCGTTTTCGTCTTCCACCTCTGCCTGGTGGACCTGCTGGCTGCCCTGACCCTCATGCCTCTGGCCATGCTCTCCAGCTCCGCCCTCTTTGACCACGCCCTCTTTGGGGAGGTGGCCTGCCGCCTCTACTTGTTCCTGAGCGTCTGCTTTGTCAGCCTGGCCATCCTCTCGGTGTCCGCCATCAATGTGGAGCGCTACTATTATGTGGTCCACCCCATGCGCTATGAGGTGCGCATGACACTGGGGCTGGTGGCCTCTGTGCTGGTGGGCGTGTGGGTGAAGGCCCTGGCCATGGCTTCTGTGCCAGTGTTGGGAAGGGTGTCCTGGGAGGAAGGCCCTCCCAGTGTCCCCCCAGGCTGTTCACTCCAATGGAGCCACAGTGCCTACTGCCAGCTTTTCGTGGTGGTCTTCGCCGTCCTCTACTTCCTGCTGCCCCTGCTCCTCATCCTTGTGGTCTACTGCAGCATGTTCCGGGTGGCTCGTGTGGCTGCCATGCAGCACGGGCCGCTGCCCACGTGGATGGAGACGCCCCGGCAACGCTCCGAGTCTCTCAGCAGCCGCTCCACTATGGTCACCAGCTCGGGGGCCCCGCAGACCACCCCTCACCGGACGTTTGGCGGAGGGAAGGCAGCAGTGGTCCTCCTGGCTGTGGGAGGACAGTTCCTGCTCTGTTGGTTGCCCTACTTCTCCTTCCACCTCTATGTGGCCCTGAGCGCTCAGCCCATTGCAGCGGGGCAGGTGGAGAACGTGGTGACCTGGATTGGCTACTTCTGCTTCACCTCCAACCCTTTCTTCTATGGCTGTCTCAACCGGCAGATCCGGGGGGAGCTCAGCAAGCAATTTGTCTGCTTCTTCAAGCCAGCTCCGGAGGAGGAGCTGAGGCTGCCGAGCCGAGAGGGCTCCATCGAGGAGAACTTCCTGCAGTTCCTTCAGGGGACAGGCTGTCCCTCGGAGTCCTGGGTTTCCCGACCCCTACCTAGCCCCAAGCAGGAGCCACCTGCCGTTGACTTTCGGATTCCAGGCCAGATAGCTGAGGAGACCTCCGAGTTCCTGGAGCAGCAACTCACCAGCGATATCATCATGTCGGACAGCTACCTCCGTCCTGCCCCCTCACCCCGGCCCGAGTCATGATGGGCCCTGGACGCTTGGAGGGAGATGGGGCTGGGGGCCGGTTACCATGGCAAGGACCACCTTGTGGGACCACCTTTTCCCAGCTAGCTGGGGCTGGGACTGGAGTCTGTGCACACAGCTTTTGCTTAGTGTTTCCTGGGTCAGGAACAGAGCCCAGAGGATGGACGTCTGGCCAAAGCCTTGGATTTGGCTGTGCTCTTTGACTTCTGGGGGAGGGAACCTGGGTATGGTGAGACGGTGACGAGAGAAAGTGTTACAAAGGTGAGAGGAAGCCTCTCGACCCAGGCATTTTCCATGCCCAGGAAGCAGGGCGACTCCCTAAAGGCAGGAGGTGGAGGATATGGGACAGCAGGCCAGGTTTGCAGTCATTCTGGGGGCCATTTAGGATATTTCATTTCTCAGTGTAATTGGCTAGGGCAGAAACTGCACCCAAGCAAGGTAAGAAAACGACCCGACCCACGTCTTATTTCCTTGAAATGTTTAAAAAGAGCTAAATTAGAGCCAAGTTGTTTCCGTTTGAAATGACAGCTCTTTTTCTGATTTCTAAAAAGTTTATGTCTTTGAAAGGCAGAGGCAAGGGGGAGGGCGGAGAGAAGGAGGGGAGGGAGAAAAAGGGGGGAAGAGAGAGAAAAGAAGAGTGAAGAGAGGAGAGGAGAGCGAGCAAGAGCTCCCATCTGCTGGTCCACACCCCAACTGCCAGCAAAGGTTGGTGCTGGGGTGGGACCAGGCCAAAGCAGGGAACTGAAGTCAAGAATACAATCCAGGACTTTCATGTGAATGGCCGGGACCCTGCTGCCTCCCAGGGTCTGCATTAGCAGGAAGCTGGAATCAGGAGAGGAGCTGGGAAGTGGATCCAGGCACGCTGATGAGGGGAGGCAAGTGTCTTAACGGCCAATTTCTCTAGTTTTATACCTGAGATTTCTTTAAATTGAGAGGGCCAGCAGGGTGCATTCCTTTCCCGAATTTGGCCAGAAGCAAAGGAAAACAGAAATTGGAGAGGGGCAGAGGACAGGAAAGCCCTCTCCTACTCAGGAGAAGCCTTTCCGTTCTATGTTTCAGTCTCTCCTGCATTTAGGGCTTGAGCTCAGCAAAGACAGTAAGACAGCTTGGCTTTTCCTCCCTGTCTTTTAGGATGGAAGCTAGAATTGGGAGTTGGATGGGTTAGCATTTGAATTGCTAAGGCTGCTGGATACAGAGGCTAGGGAATCACCCTGATGAGTAACACTGTGAATCTTTCTTTCCAGGTCTGGCCTCCCTGATCTCTCTCCTTTCGGCAGTGACCCACCTCCAGCCCCCTGGACAATCGGGTACAAGAGTCGAAGGTTGGGCATGGGAAGGGTAGGGTTTCCATGGTCTGTTAATGCCTCTTTACTCCTATACATCGCTCTCAAAATTAGCTTCAGTGACAAAGACTTACATCTCACTCCTCTCTGCAGCCCTGGGTTGGAGAGAGGGCACAGGAGTTGGGCTCAGCTGCTCACTAATTGAAACTGTAGGAACCATGGTGGTTTTTATTGATAGTGGTTATTTTTAAGAGAGAGAGAATGATTAAAAACTGGACAGGACATCCTAGCTAGGATCACCTGTCCATTCCACTTCCCTAAATTGAATCAGGCCAACACCAAAGGGTCAAGGCAGGCTGAGGGGGTGGTGTGGTTTATATTCAAACAAATTCTTGAATCACTGAGCATCAAAGGGGGAAAATGGGCTGGTGGGAATGGGATAGTTTCCCATTTAACAGCTAATAAATAATTTTTATGATCAAAAGTTATATTGATATCAACATTGACTCCTTCAGTTCAATGCAGTGCATAATAGGTGAAAACCCACTATTCCTTGGGACCCATACAGAGGATATACAGTCATTGCCTTCAAGTGCTTTCTAGTCTAATTTGATTGGATCCCTTGTGTTTTTACAGTGTTTAGATCTGAGAAGCATTGCAGAATGTTTGAAAAATATATTGGAGCATATATCCATGGTTCTAACTTCCGCAAGTTACCTACTTACAGCAAGATACCTACACAGAGCTTCCTGCAGTGTGGAGAGTATGGAGGCTGTAAATTAAGCTCTCTAATGAAGAAAAAATTCTCAAATCAAAGTGGGCAAACATAGCCCTCGTCCTAATGATCTAGGGCATTTTCCAGGTTTCTGTCTTCCCACAACTAGCCTACAAGTCCAGTCTAATGCCTATTAAAGAAATCCCTCACATGACAGTATAGTGAGGAGAGTGACTGAAAAACAGGTTCACCTCTCTCTCCCCTTTAAGATACACTCATACTGAGGAATCTCATTCCTGGTTGGGGGTGGGGGTGGGGGGACTTTCAGCCACTACACAGCTAGTAGACCTGCAACACTGCCAGTAGGTGGCAGTGTGAGTCCAGTGGAAATAAGGAAAGGTGTGTGTGTGGGGGGGGCGACCAGGAGGGCCTTAAACATTGCCTGGCAGCCATTTTGTCAATTTATTTTGCCTTTTCCTCTGACTTTGCACTCCAACCCTTCCTTCACATACATCAAAGAAGTAAGTTCTGAGTGCAAGGATATCTCCAATTCAGGTTGAAAACTCCTGACACTGTGATCTCATTGGTGTTTATCACAGAGTTTGACATACATGGGTTAATTTGCCATTTATTTTTCCCTGTGAGAGTGAATTATGAAGGAAATAAAAATTTTTTTCTATTATGCTCAGAACTTTCCTAACATTTCTGCTATGACCATCTTCCAGGAGTTTTCTGGATGCCAGAACAGGCTGGTAAAATTCACTATGTAATCCTAAACTCTCAACATTATTCTCGGACAAAGCCAAACCTTTCTGGTACACTGAAGAATGAACAGGTTGAGGCGATCATCTTGTCAGTTACTTCTTTCCTGCCTTCTGATGGTGTGGGGGACTCCCAGTCCTGGAGCTGGGCCTTCTCTTGTCAAGTGTCCCAAGGCAAAAGGTAAAAAGGGTTGAATTTTGTGAAGTCTGACAGGTCTACTTACTCACTGTGTGAACTTGGGAAAGCTGCTTAATTTCTCTGAGCCTATTTCCTCATCTGTAAAAATGGGGATTATTATTACCTACCTCACAGGGTTGTTGTGAGGATGAAGAGATGAGATGTGGAAGCACCTAGCCATGCCTGGCAAATAGGTACTCAATAAATATTGGTTTTTCTTCCCTTTCCTCTTGCCCTTTTTCCCTAGAAATATTGATGGCAGTAAAGCAATTCCTTTTATTTTAACAGTCATTTAGGAATGAGTGGCAGACCTTTCAAACTTCGAAGTCCTGGCACTGATAAACGTTATGGTCACTGAGGCTGTTGAAAGTGACTCTAATCCTTTGATCAAACCTTCCTAATTAATGAATCATCATTATATAGACCTGTCCATTGGGACCTTATATTGTAATGTTTAGACTCTACTGGGGAAATAATTTTAATCATAGGGTAAGGATATAAGGGCTGCAAAAGAGCTCTTCCTAGAATATATGGAGAGAGTAATTGGCACTGTTTGTCAGTTTAATTAATTTAGGACCACCTTCATGTATTATCAGTGAAAGAGCGTCATCAGCTAGGGGCTTTTACAGGGGATTTATTAATGTCCAGGTGACAGTATAACTGAGAGGCAAATTTTACTACACTACCCTTTTTGGTGTGGGGCAACAGGAAATTTAAGGAGACTCCCAGTATGCACTGGTTTGTTTCACAGTGAGGGGCTGAGGTTGACTTACATTAAATCCTATGCCCAAGAGTGGCGTGTATTGGAGAGAAGGGCAGCGTGGACATTTTATGGAGGAATTACAAGCTTACTTGTTAGGTTACAGAGCTTCTAGTCACAGAGTAACTAGTGATTTCAAGTGACGCTTTGCCGACATAGGAGCTGGGCAAATCTTAAGGCAACTGACATTCATAATTAATAGCACAAGGTCTAGGACACACTTTGAGAGCACAAGGCATGGGCCAACGAGGGCCAAAGAGGGATCGCTTAAGTCCAAGGCATGGTGAGGCCTGGCCGGGACCAAGACTGGGCACTTTGTTCCCATCCCAACCGCTGGAACAATCCTGACACTGCCTCGGTGTCTTCAACCCGGGGGCGGGGAGCGCTGGGTCTCCAACAGCCAGAAATCGATGACATTTTCTGGCCAGCGAGAAAATCTCATTAGAAGTTACCGTGGGGCTGTGGGGGCTCTCATTTGAGAATTTCCTCCCTTCCTCACCTCCCCCAAGCATCCGCTGTGTGACTCTCTGGGAGGGCCCTCTGAGCTGGAGGCCTCGGTCTTTCTCCATTCATCCAAACCAGGTAGCTGAGAAGGTAAAGAGAGATTAAAGTTGGGAGGCACGCCGTGAGTTTGACAGAACCCCGCAGCCCCGCAGCCCCGCCGCCCAGCCCAGCCACACCTCTCGAGGACTTCCGCTTTCGGTCTCACCTCCTCTCCCAGAGAGCTCCAAGCAGTAACGGCCGCAGGGCGTCACCGGAAATGTCGTAAACGCCGGATATCCGGTTCCTCGGGGCGCTAGGGGCGCTGACGGAGAGGGCCGCCGCCCAGCAGTAGACGCTGCCTCAGCCGGCCGAGCCGCAGTTACTGCGGTGTGTGACTGAGCCCGGGCCCAGCCGCCTGTCCCGCCGCCGCCATGGGCTGCACGTTGAGCGCCGAAGACAAGGCGGCGGTGGAGCGGAGCAAGATGATCGACCGCAACTTGCGGGAGGACGGAGAGAAAGCGGCCAAAGAAGTGAAGCTGCTGCTCCTCGGTGAGGGGCTGGGGGCGGGGCTGGAGCGGTGGCCGGGGGAGCCCAGGTCCTGGCCAGGCCGGCCGCACGGACCCCAAAGGGATTTGTAGGGTTTGTCCGGCGGGCGGCGGGGTCCTGGGGCTCAGGCCCCGGAGGGTGAGATGAAGGGGTGGGGTTTTGGGGTTGTGGAAATTAGGCTGGGAGGGTGTGACTCCGGGCTGGAATTAGGTTTAGCAAAGAGTTTGGGAGTGCAGGGCGGTTGGACGGTGAGACTTCATTAGGAATATGGGAGACGCTCATAAAAGAACTGATGTTAGAGAAGGTTTTACGTTGAGTTTGAGCTTGTTAGTAACCAGGAGGAGAGGTTAAGGTGCTTGCTGGATTTGTATAATGATTAGTGAATTTGGAGCGCGGTGACACTTTATAAAATGAAAGCACTTGAATGTTAAAAACTAAGAATAAATTTTTTTTTAGAAAAGACAAAGCGGTGAGACACGAGCGATTACTTTGAACAGAGATCACTCGCACGAAGTGATTACATAGGGAAAGAGCATGTTAGTAAGGCGGGGGAACCCTTGCGCAGGAACGTGCAGGTAAAGGGCTGAGATACGTGACAGATTCGCAGGTATCAAGGAAAAGAGCTTGGATGCAGGGCTTGTCTGTGCTTTCCCACCCTTTTCGTTTTGTAACTCCTTCCCCAGGTTTTATTAGAAGAAGCGGGAGTGGTGTGAGCTGAGGGTACTGAAAGAATGGCTTGTTACGGCTTGTGGCAGATCCGTGGACGACAGATTGCACATTGGAAGTTGTTTGAATGTTTGTTAGGGATACCGTGCTGTGGGGATAAAGTTATTTTAGGGTAAGTTAGGGATTGAGCATGTTTACTGTGAAGACTGTTAGATTTCTGGTGAGCTCTCTATCTTGTTTGTTCTCTTCCAGGAAAAAATACTGGCCTCAGGAATCACTGTTTATAGTTTCTCGTATCCGTTTTAACCCATTACATCCTGAGTTTTCAATTTTGTGAATGTTTCTATGACATAATGTTTATTTCAAAGTTAACATAAGTGGTATATTTATTGCTTGACTTTAGTTTTTTATAGATGCCTCTATATAGGACCATGATACATATGGGTTAAGTGGCTTTTGTGTATTGTCTGATGCATCTTAGCGCAATTTAGTTTTGAAATTTTTGAAACTCAGTAAATCATATAAAATGTCCTTGTGCTAACTTACAATAAACCAAGCCAGATTTCTTCATTATTAGTCTTTACTGTAGATCAGTTAGAGAAGAATAAATAGGCGTGATGATTTCTGTAAGTAATAGAACTTGAGACTTATTCTGTATTTCAGGATGTGCTTGGTACCCTGACAGTGTCTTTTAGTGTTAACATACTGGCTTGGTTGTAGATTGCAGAAACCCTGGTAACAGCTTTGTTGGATATAGGGGAAAAGTTATACATTGGAACCTGAGCTTTCAGTGTGAATAGCTGAACTTCTGGAAGGCTCTAGACGGCCACTGTCTGTATCACAGGTATCTTCTGTGCACAGGCATGGTCCCTGGTACCTGGTCGGCACTTCTTAAATATTTACTGTTAACAAGCATAAGCCAGCTAATGTTGGACATTTGTCCTTGGGGCCTTTCAGAAGTTTCATGGGAAACACAATATTCAAGGTATTAGCATTTTCTATACCGATTGATTGGTTATGAAATTAAGGGTATTTTTTTTCCTCAGGACATTAGCCCATTGTAATACAGTTATAAACTGTGAGACTTTATTCCAAATGGCAGGATTTGGCAGGCAGAACTTTGGCAAGCAGAACTTGTCCAAATGTCTAGAAAAATCTTTATTCAGAACTTTATAGATAGTGCAATTGAAAAGCAGTAAATAAAAAAGTACTAACATTTTCTTTTAATTTTTACTTTGTTTTTTCAATTTTTAAAAAAATTTATTTATTTGACAGGCACAGAGACAGAGAGTCCTTTCCTTTCTTGGTTTATTCCCCAAATACCTGCAACAGCTCCGGCTGGGCCAGGCCAAAGCTAGGAGCTGGGTCTCTGCTGTGGGTGGTAGGAACCCAAGTACTTGGGCTTTTGTCTGCTGCCTCTCATGTGCATTAACAAGAAGATGGATCTAGATCTGAATTGCAAGTGGGCCTCGATTCCAGGCACTCTAATAAGGGAAGCAGGCATCCCAAGTGGCAGCTTCGCCCACTGTTCTGCAATGCTTGCCTTCAGAAAGATTTTGAATGCAGCAAGTCAAATCAACAAATTCAGATAGGTTGCAGAGATATATTCTCTTGCTTGAGACATATACACAGCTATGTAATTGTCTTCATGTTGTTTCTCTAAGGAAAATATACCCAGTACTGTATACAGATTTTGTTTTTGCTGTAGAATATATCTCCTTTTCTGTATATATAAGTCATTTTTATTTCATTACTATGAAATTATCAAATAATATAAGTTGAGGCCTGAGTACTTATCCTTGTCTCTCCTGGCTCAGAATATGTTCTCTTCCTTAAAAGGATATAGTGTAGCATAAATATTGACGGCATGGACTCTGAAGCCAGACTGCGTCAAATCCTACTTCCCACACACTAGTGATAATTCTGGGGAAGTTATTTACTTAATTTCTCCCTGCCTCAGTTCCCTTATCTAAGATGAAAAAAAAAATAGAGCTATTTCATTATGTAAAGCAGAACACTGAGTACTGCCTCACTGACTATTAGTTATTGTTGTCATTATTAACTCAAAGTGATTGTTACAAATTATAGGTACTATAAAATTCAAATCAAGAAACCAGTGTGGACTTAATTAGGGAAATTTTCAGTGTTATAATTCTTCTTTTGATTTCTTTTAACTTCCCTTTTGGTGGTGTTAGCAAGATCTTGATAAGTCAAATTAGTGTAGAATCACAGTTTTCTTTTTTCTTTTTTTTTTTTTTTTTTTTTGACAGGCAGAGTAGACAGAGAGAGAGACAGAGAGAGAAAGGTCTTCCTTTGCCGTTGGTTCACCCTCCAATGGCCGCCGCTGCAGCTGCCGCACCGCGCTGATCCGATGGCAGGAGCCAGGATCCAGGTGCTTTTCCTGGTCTCCCATGGGGTGCAGGGCCCAAGTACTTGGGCCATCCTCCACTGCACTCCCTGGCCATAGCAGAGAGCTGGCCTGGAAGAGGGGCAACTGGGACAGAATCCGGCGCCCCGACCGGGACTAGAACCCGGTGTGCCGGCGCCGCAAGGTGGAGGATTAGCCTATTGAGCCACGGCGCCGGCCAGAATCACAGTTTTCTATTGAAAGACAATATTACATAATAGATAGGATTACATATATTACATAATAGATAGGATAGGTACATAGGATTGCATACATGTTTGCTGTTTGCAGATTTTTTTGTAGAATTTTTTTTTTAAGTTTTTGTTTGTTTATTATTTATTTGAAAGGCAGAGGAATAAACAGAAAGAGAGTTCTTCCATCTGCTGATTCACTCCCCAAACACAACAGCTAGAGCTGGGCCAGCCAAAGCCAAGAGCCAGGAACTCAATCTGGGTCTTCTGTGTGGGTGACAGGAGCCTGAGTACTTAAGCCATCACCTGCTGCCTTGGATCTGAGGCAAAGCTGGGACTCTAACCCAGGCACTTTGATTTGGTGTGCGGGTGTCCCCAGCGGTAGCTACACCTTTGCCTCTGTCCCTGATTTACTCAATTAGAGGACTGGTTTTTGTTTGGAATTTTTTGAGAAGCTATTTCTGTACTTAAGATGACTTTTCCCTTCCTCCAGTGAATTAATGAACTACTTGCTGCCACTTGCCCCAAGTCATTACAGCCATGCGTGAGATAGTAATGTTTCAATCTGTGACAGACCTCATGTGTGAGGATCTAGGCCAGGTAACTTGGGTGTGTAGTAGGCTATCCCGGTGATTTTTTTTTTAAGATTTTATTTATTTATTTGAAAGTCAGAGTTACACAGAAAGAGGAGAGGCAGAAAGAGGAGAGAGGTCTTCCATCTGCTGGTTCACTCCCCACAGGGCCCAAACAGCCAGAGCTGCACGGATCTGACCAGGAGCCAGGAGCTTCTTCCAGGTCTCCCACACGGGTGCAGGGGCCCAAGGACTTGGGCCATCCTCCACTGCTTTCCCAGGCTGTAGCAAAGAGCTGGATTGGAAAAGGAGCAGCTGGGACTAGAACTGGTGTCCATATGGGATGCCAGCACTCCAGGCCAGGGCGTTAACCCACTATGCCACTGCGCCAACCCCAGTTCTGGTGACATTTGTGTCAGTACACTCTGATGTTTACATAGTGCCAGAATCGCATAACAATTCATTTCTGAGAACATATCCCATTGTTAAGTCATGCATGATTATATATTCAGTACACAACTTGCCTTTCCTCTTCTCTCTTACCCAGATCCACCTGTTGTGAACTTTTTTGTTCTGGCACCAGCATTTTCAACATCACCTAGGCTGGAAACATTTTATTAATTAAAACAGTTATTTTTTTTTTTTTTTAAAGATCTGTTTGTTTATTTGAAAAGCAGAGTTAGAGAGAGATCTTCCATCCACCGGTTCACTCCCCAAATGACCACAGTGGCCAGGGCTGGGGCAGGACAAAGTCAGAAGCCAAGAATTTCTTCTTGGTCTCCCACGTGGGTGTAGGGGGCCCAAGGACTTGGGCCATTCTTCACTGTTTTCCCAGGTACATTAGCAGGGAGCTGGATTGGAAGTGGAATAACCAGGACTGGAACCAGTGCCT